CCTTTTAAAATGTCTTCAGTGCCTATATTGCTTAGCGCCATATAGTCTTCAGTACCATATAATCTTGTCTTCACCCTAAGTATTGCCTTCAGCTGCCTTAATGCTTCAAACCTACCTTATACTTGTCTTCAGCTAGCCTTAAAGTATTGCCTTCACTGGGGTTAAATATTGTCTTCAGCTGCCTTAAGTAATTGCTTCAGCCCTTAAGTAGTCTTCAGCTGCCATAAAATATTGTTTTTCAGCTCCTTATGTATTGTCTTCAATGCCTTATATATGTCTTCACTGCTTAATTATTGTCTTTACTGCCTTAAAATTTATTGTCTACAGCTACCTTATTCGTCTTCAGCTGCTTAAATATTGTCTTCCAGCTGGCTTAATTGGTCTTCGGGTTTACCATATCTTGTCTTTGCTGCATTATGATTTTCTCAGCTGCCTTTTATAATTGTCTTCAGCTCCTATTATTGTCTTTCCCGCTTGAACCTATTTAGTCTTCACTGCCTTATAATTGTCTCAGCTCTTATGTATTGTCTTCAGCTGCCGTTATGTATTGTCTCACTCCTTTTATATTGTCTTTAAAGCTGCCTTATGTATTGCTCACTGCTTAATATGTCTTCCAGCTGCCTATTGGTTTCACTGCTTATATTGTCTACACTGCCTTAGTAATGTCCCACTGTTTAAATTTTTTTCAGCTGTTATAAAAGTTTTGGGTTAATTTTTTGGGGTTTATTTTTTTTTTTCCCCCCTTAAAATTTCACACTTGGTTAAACCACATTGTTATCCCTGGTTTACAACCCCCATTGTTACTCCCTGTGTTAACCACATTGTTATCCCCCCGTTAAAAACCAGCATTTGGTTTCAAAAAATTTTTCCCTGGTTTTATCCAGCTTTTTTAAAAACTTGTTTTCCCGCTTTATCCATCACTTGGAAAATTTTTTCCCCTTTTTAAAACCCATTAGGGGTTCCCTATTCTTTACCCTGGGAACCCCATCTGGGTTTACCCCTTTTGGGTTTCAACCCTTGGGGTTATCCCGCACAATTTTCATCACTTGGGGGTTAACCTCACTCGTATCCCCGCGTTCAAATTCCCCTTTTTCCCGCTTTAAAAAACCATCACCCCGGTTACAACCCCTTTCCCCCCCCCTTTTTTTTAAAACCCCCGGTTTTTTCCGCACTTGGACAAAAATATTTATCCGCGTTTATTCCCGCCCCTTTGGTTTCAACATTTAAATTCCCCCGGTTAAAATCTCAAGTTATCCCCGGTTTAAAAACACACGGTTTTTATCAACCTTTTGTCACCCCGGGGAAACCACACCGTTTTCCCTTTTTTTTAAAAATTTGCCCTTTCCCCCTTTTTCAGCTATTGGTTAAACCATTTAGTCAATTGGTTTCCACACCGTTATCCCGCTTTTTTTTGGTTACAACCCTTTTTTCCCCGGTTAAAAATACTGGTTTTCGTTAAAAATGTTCTTGGGTACAACCTTTTTTATCCCCCTTTACCCTTTTAGTTACCTTGGTACAACCTATTCAGCACTTGGGGACAACCCACTTGTTTTTAAAAAATTTTACCCCCGATTACAAAATTTTAGGTATCCCCTTAAAATATCTAGCATTGATCCCCTTTTGGGGATCCCTGGTTAAAAATCTAGCACTTGTTTCAACCTTTTGGCACCCCTTTTGTTAAAACCTAACCAACTTGGGGTAAACCCCCGAAATGTTCCCCCTTTGAGTTCAATGAAAATACAAACCATGGAAAAAAAAAATTCCCAAAAAAGCTTGGGGTTTCGGTTTGTGGGGGGGTTTCTGAACAACCCCAAACGGGAAAAGGGGGGATGTTTACAGGAGAGGACAGGGGAAGATTTTTAAAATTTCTAAAAAAAAAATTTATCATCACAGTCTACTCCCTGCGTTACAACCATCATCACAGGCTACTCCCTGCGTTACAACCATTATCTCAGTCTACTCCCTGCGTTACAACCATCATCACAGTCTACTCCCTGCGTTACAACCATCATCTCAGTCTACTCCCTGCGTTACAACCATTATCTCAGTCTACTCCCTGCGTTACAACCATTATCTCAGTCTACTCCCTGCGTTACAACCATCATCACAGTCTACTCCCTGCGTTACAACCATCATCACAGTCTACTCCCTGCGTTACAACCATCATCTCAGTCTACTCCCTGCGTTACAACCATCATCTCAGGCTACTCCCTGCGTTACAACCATTATCTCAGTCTACTCCCTGCGTTACAACCATTATCTCAGTCTACTCCCTGCGTTACAACCATCATCTCAGTCTACTCTCTGCGTTACAACCATCATCTCAGTCTACTCCCTGCGTTACAACCATCATCTCAGGCTACTCCCTGCGTTACAACCATCATCTCAGTCTACTCCCTGCATTACAACCATTATCTCAGGCTACTCCCTGCGTTACAACCATCATCTCAGTCTACTCCCTGCATTACAACCATTATCTCAGGCTACTCCCTTCGTTACAACCATCATCTCAGTCTACTCCCTGCATTACAACCATTATCTCAGGCTACTCCCTGTGTTACAACCATCAACCAAGCCTCACTGTGGGTGAAACTCTTGAAGCTAAGCTCTCCCTCCTTACAATGTCAGTGTCAATACGAACAGTCACAATACCATGACTAGAACAATACACAAATAACTCCCACATAGAGAAAGAACCTTCCTGACGACATTTCGGTTTGACTCGGAACATTAACTAGTAACACACTAACACACGAAGGTAAGGGAGGCAGTGTTTACAGGAGAGGAAGGCAGGGACGAGTTATTTGTGTAATGTGTCAATAAGAAAACAAATTTGAGAGTAGAGGCACACATGAGGCAAAAATTTGTACTGATGCCTTACCTAGTATGAACTGAAGCCGGGAGGTCAGATACCAGCGGGATATAGCCACATACCAAAGGGATACAGCCACATACCAAAGGGATACAGCCAGATACCAAAGGGATACAGCCAGATACCAAAGGGATACAGCCACATACCAAAGGGATACAGCCAGATACCAAAGGGATACAGCCAGATACCAAAGGATACAGCCACATACCAAAGGGATACAGCCACATACCAAAGGGATACAGCCAGATACCAAAGGGATGCAGCCAGATACCAAAGGGATACAGCCAGATACCAAAGGGATACAGCCACATACCAAAGGGATACAGCCACATACCAAAGGGATACAGCCAGATACCAAAGGGATACAGCCAGATACCAAAGGGATACAGCCACATACCAAAGGGATACAGCCAAATACCAAAGGGATACAGTCACATACCAAAGGGATACAGCCACATACCAAAGGGATACAGCCACATACCAAAGGGATACAGCCAGATACCAAAGGGATACAGCCACATACCAAAGGGATACAGCCAAATACCAAAGGGATACAGCCAGATTCCAAAGGGATACAGCCAGATACCAAAGGGATACAGCCAAATACCAAAGGGGTACAGCCAGATACCAAAGGGATACAGCCAGATACCAACGGGATACGTCAAGAGTTCTAACAGAGGACTTTAATCCATTGTAACATTGTAACATTGGTAATATAGTTAACAATGACACCGAAATTCATGAATTTCAAAATGTAAATAATGAATTTGCTAATGACAGATTAAATAGAATTAAATAAATTAGTAAATAAAAAGAAAAACACATTATTACGTTCATGGGGAAAGCGGTAAACCCGCAGGTGTCATGCAGCGCCTGAGAGGCAGTCAGCACTGGTGTGGGTGTATCCAGCACTGGTGTGGGTGTATCCAGCACTGGTGTGGGTGTATCCAGCACTGGTGTGGGTGTATCCAGCACTGGTGTGGGTGTATCCAGCACTGGTGTGGGTGTATCCAGCACTGGTGTGGGTGTATCCAGCACTATTGTGGGTGTATCCAGCACTGGTGGGGTGTATCCAGCACTGTGTGGTGTATCAGCACGGTGGGTGTATCCAGCACTGGTGTGGGTGTATCCAGCACTGGTGTGGGTGTATCCAGCACTATTGTGGGTGTATCCAGCACTGGTGGGGGTGTATCCAGCACTGGTGTGGGTGTATCCAGCACTGGTGGGGGTGTATCCAGCGCTAGTGTGGGTGTATCCAGCACTGTTGGGGTGTATCCAGCACTGGTGTGGGTGTATCCAGCACTGTTGAGGTGTATCCAGCACTGGTGTGGGTGTATCCAGCACTGGTGTGGGAATATCCAGCACTGGTGCAGGGTTATCCAGCACTGGTGTGGGAGTATCCAGCACTTGCGTGGGTGTATCCAGCACTTGTGTGGGTGTATCCAGCACTATTGTGGGTGTATCCAGCACTGGTGGGGGTGTATCCAGCACTAGTGTGGGTGTATCCAGCACTGGTGTGGGAGTATCCAGCACTGGTGTGGTAGTATCCAGCACTGGTTTGGGAGTATCCAGCACTGGTTTGGGAGTATCCAGCACTGGTGTTATAGTATCCAGCATTGGTGTGGGTGTATCCAGCACTTGTGTGGGTGTATCCAGCACTATTGTGGGTGTATCCAGCACTGGTGGGGTGTATCCAGCACTTGTGTGGGTGTATTCAGCACTATTGTGGGTGTATTCAGCACTGGTGGGAGTGTATCCAGCACTAGTATGGGTGTATCCAGCACTGGTTTGGGAGTATCCAGCACTGGTGTGGTAGTATCCAGCATTGGTGTGGGTGTATCCAGCATGGTGTGGGAGTATCCAGCGCTGGTGTGGGTGTATCCAGCACTATTGTGGGTGTATCTAGCACTGGTGGGGGTGTATCCAGCACTGGTGTGGGAGTATCCAGCACTGGTGCAGGAGTATCCAGCACTGGTGTGGGAGTATCCAGCACTGGTGTGGGAGTATCCATCACTGGTGTGGTAGTATCCAGCACTTGTTTGGGAGTATCCAGCACTGGTGTGGGAGTATCCAGCACTGGTGTGGTAGTATCCAGCACTGGTTTGGGAGTATCCATCACTAGTGTGGGAGTATCCAGCACTGGTGTGGGTGTATCCAGCACTGGTGTGGGAGTATCCAGCACTGGTGTGGTAGTATCCAGCACTGGTGTGGGAGTATCTAGCACTGGTGTGGGAGTATCCAGCACTGGTGTGGTAGTATCCAGCACTGGTGTGGTAGTATCCAACACTGGTGTGGTAGTATCCAGCACTGGTGTGGGAGTATCCAGCACTTGTGTGGGTGTATCCAGCACTACTGTGGGTGTATCCAGCACTAGTGTGGGCGTATCCAACACCGGTGTGAGAGTATCCAGCACTGGTGTGGTAGTATCCAGCACTGGTGTGGGAGTATCCAGCACTTGTGTGGGTGTATCCAGCACTGGTGTGGGAGTATCCAGCACTGGTGTGGTAGTATCCAGCACTGGTGTGGGTGTATCCAGCATGGTGTGGATGTATCTAGCACTGGTGTGGGTGTATCTAGCACTGGTGTAGCAGTATCCAGCACTGGTGTGGGAGTATCCAGCACTGGTGTGGGAGTATCTAGCACTGGTGTGGGAGTATCCAGCACTGGTGTGGGAGTATCTAGCACTGGTGTGGGAGTATTCAGAACTGGTGTGGTAGTATCCAACACTGGTGTGGGAGTATCTAGCACTGGTGTGGGGGTATCCAGCACTGGTGTGGGAGTATCTAGCACTGGTGTGGGAGTATCCAGCACTGGTGTGGGAGTATCTAGCACTGGTGTGGGAGTATTCAGCACTTGTGTGGTAGTATCCAACACTGGTGTGGGAGTATCTAGCACTGGTGTGGGGGTATCCAGCACTGGTGTGGGAGTATCCAGCACTGGTGTGGGAGTATCTAGCACTGGTGTGGGAGTATTCAGCACTTGTGTGGTAGTATCCAACACTGGTGTGGGAGTATCTAGCACTGGTGTGGGGGTATCCAGCACTGGTGTGGGAGTATCCAGCACTGGTGTGGGTGTATCTAGCAGTGGTGTGGGAGCGCTCCTTCGGGAGCAGGATCCCTCAAGATCGGGAGAGTTACTGTGTACCAGTGCACAGACTTGACTACACTGTTACCCTGACGATACTGCCATTCACTGGAAACTCTCTTGGCACACAATACTACAACTCTAACACACTACACATTCTGTACAAAAATAAATAAACACTGACATGCTTAATTAACAAAAATAATATTGGCGCTATCTAGAAATCTATGAAATTTTCTTAAGTGATATAAATTACATAAGGGCACATTGGCTGAACTATTCCATGGCTTGAGTGTAACTCATTTGAGATATTCCAGAAGTGGCTTAGAGTGGAGATAACATTCTCGTAAGCCAGTGTGCAATCCAAGTGAACTAACTTTCCCGTATGGATTCCTGGAACATTCTTGGGACATTTCTCTTTGGAATCCAAGAACACTCTTCAAGTCTTTTTGCAAGCCTTTTAAAGCTAACCTGGAATCCTAGAATATCCCTTTCAAAGCCCATCAGGAATCCTGGAGAATTCCTGGAACTTTCCTGGAAGGCACTTCCAGGAAACACTTCAGGCGGCCAAGTTTAGGCTACCGGGAGGGGCTGGTCGTAGTACTCGCCGATCCAGTTAGTGAACTCTTCGTACTCGTCTCCCTTCAAAGCTTCATTGTCTAGGTTAGGACAAGAGAGGGTCGGGCAGCAGCTAGGGTAATCCAAGGTCAGGTCCTGCACGGTCTCACACCCAGGCTCGACCCCCATCAGCCCGCACCTGTGGACGACATACATGTTTATAAATTGGGAGAATGAAAAAAAAATTGTGCCTACCTTGGCTAAAAGCCAACATCTGTGGGGAAAAAAAACCTATACTGCCTTTTAAGAAAAACATTCAAACGCTACTTAAGATATCCACACAAAACAGCGTAATAAACTCTGGTAATGGACACTAAAATATCGCTCAGTATGACACTATATTTCTGATTCATAACATGAAAAAGAGTCAACTAAGATGCCGAAATATAAAGCGATCAGTTTAACTGGTGTATTATTATACTCTTTGTTGTTTTTGTATTTCGGAAATGATTAAGTCCTCAAGATGGTAGATTTTCACCATAGTTTTACAAAGTTTAGAAATTATTATAATGCTGAAGCAGCAGAATAACAGATAGAAGCGAGTGGAAGCAAATGGTTTTTATGACTTGAGGTGCTGTTGGAGTGTGAGCAAAGTAACATTTATGAAGGGAAACCGGCAGGCCGGACTTGAGTCCTGGAGGTGAGAAGTATAGTGTCTGCAGTCTGAAGGAGGGGTGTTAATGTTGCAGTTTTTTAACGGTAGTATAAGGGCGCCTCTGGCAAGACAGTGATGGAGTGAATGATGATGATAGAGTTTCTTCTTTTGCGGGTCACCCTGCCTCGGCGGGTCACCCTGCCTCGGTGGGTCACCCTGCCTCGGTGGGTCACCCTGCCTCGGTGGATCACCCTGCCTCGGTGGGTCACCCTGCCTCGGCGGGTCACCCTGCCTCAGTGGGTCACCCTGCCTCGGCGGGTCACCCTGCCTCAGTGGGTCACCCTGCCTCAGTGGGTCACCCTGCCTCGGTGGGTCACCCTGCCTCGGTGGGTCACCCTGCCTCGGTGGGTCACCCTGCCTCGGTGGGTCACCCTGCCTCGGTGGGTCACCCTGCCTCGGTGGGTCACCCTGCCTCGGTGGGAAACTGTCGCTGTGTTAATAAAATAGAATATAAATAAAAATAATCCCCCCTGGTGTAGGTGGGACAGTGTGGAAAGATGAGGTTATGCCAGCCTCACTGTACACTGCCCTGCCATGCGTGGTAAACCTCTCATGCAAAGGCTTTATGAGTTTTGTTAACGAGTAAGTTGATAACGATCACCGTGATGATGTAACGTCAGCTGGTGGTGTGAATGAACAAGACTTGACTAACGCACTATGGAAGTCACAATAAAGTTGCTAACTAACGCACAATTTGGAAACACGTTTTTCACCATTTTCTCGACTTTTCCCGAACCATGGCATCCTTGATAATGGTCCAGGGAGGATTTGTGAATTAGTTAAGGAAAGATGTAACTACCTAGTGCATCCAGTCTCACTCGGGAGACTCCTTTTATTGTTCAAAGCAAAATTTCTCACTAGTTTAACTAGCCACGATGATGCCTGATCGTATCCTGACTTAACCTATGATTCCATGATTGTTAGTGACATACTGTGAGTAACCTTAGCATTGAGGAATGTAAGATAAGATAAGATTTCGTTCGGATTCTTAACCCAGGAGGGTTAGCCACCCAGGATAACCCAAGAAAGTCAGTGCGCCATCGAGGACTGTCTAACTTATTTCCATTGGGGTCCTTAATCTTGTCCCCCAGGATGCGACCCACACCAGTCGACTAACACCCAGGTACCTATTTGCTGCTAGGTGAACAGGACAACAGGTGTAAGGAAACGTGTCGAAATGTTTCCACCCGCCGGGAATCGAACCCGGGCCCTCCGTGTGTGAAGCGGGAGCTTTAGCCACCAGGCCACCGAGTCACCTCACGAAGATTTACGATGACGAAGGTGGATAGAGGCTGCCCTGATTGCTGCCAGTAACACTATCCATCAAAACTCCGCAAATTACACTGTATCCAAATTATCCATTGTTGAGGCTGCTGTAATGTGATGTTGACACAGCTCTTAAACACAATCCATCTCACCAAAATTGTAGTACTACTACTACTATTACTATTATTACTACTACTACTACTGCTATTGTTGCAGTTGCTACTATTACTGCTACTACGACTACTGCAGCTACTAATACTACTACTACTACTGCTACTGCTACTACTACTACTACTACTACTACCCTCTCGCAACTGACCACCTGACTCCTGCCGCTGTATATACTCGTTCTTAGTTATCTCTCTATTAGGACTGAAGAAGCTCCTCGTGGCGAAACGTTTCCTCTGATAAATGTCCTGAACTGTACAAAAGTGTCGTCATGCACGGTCGACACCGTCAAGACCCGCGGGAGGAGGGAGAGACACAGATGGTGATGCCAGCCTCCCAGTGTTGTTGACTCAGAGGGACCTACTGACGACACGGCTCTTCTCCACCACCAGGATGCACCTTGTTGCTATTATCTTTTCCTTCTCTCCTCTTCTCTCCTCTCCCCTCTTCTCCACTTTCCACGTCAGACCGTTTCACATCATCGCTTTCCCCTCTTATCCTCACCTTCATCATGTGTTTTGTTTTTTGTAGTAGATTACGCCTTGTGCAAGTTTTCTCCTCGTTCTTCATTTAGCTTCCATTTCTATTCTTTTATTTTGGGTTTGGGTTTCTGGGCAGTAACCTCGATGAGGTACTGGGCTAACTCTCAGAGAGGGACTGGGCAGTAAGTCTCGACTGAGTGTACCGGGCAGTAACCTCAGATGAGTGTACGGGCAGTAGCTCTCAGACTGAGTGTCGGGGGAGTAACTCCAGACTGAGTTTATGGGGATAACTTCAGACTGAGTGATGGGGAGTAAATTCGGGGGTTAATGGGCAGTAACCCAGATGGTGTATGGGCCCCCTTAAAATCTCAGACTGAGTGTCTGGGCATAACTTTCAGATGAGTGTACTGGGCAGAACTTCAGTGAGTGTATGGCATAACTTTTGATGAGTGTATGGGCGTAACCTCAGACTGAGTGTACTGGGCAGTAACTCTCGACTGAGTGTTGGGGGAGTAACTTCAGACTGAGTGTTCGGGCAGTTCTTATCATTTTTTAGTGGGAAATTCTTCAGTGGGTTGGTTTTTACTGCTAGGTTTATTATGGGTTATAACATGGGTTATCACCATGGGTTAAAACTGGGTTATCCCTGGGTTATAAAAACTGGGTTTCACCTGGGTTTAACACTGGGTTTTACCGGGTTATAACACTGGGTTTCACATGGGTTATAAACTGGGTTACACCCTGGGGTTTTAACACGAGTTTTCCCATGGGTTATAACATGGGTTATCACCATGGGTTATAAACTGGGTTTTTTCAAGGGTTATAACCTGGGTTATCACCATGGGTTTTAACCCGGTTATCACCCTGGGATAAAACTGGGTTTTCACAATGGGTTTTTAAAACTGGGGTTTTCACCATGGGTTTAAAAACGATTTTCACCCTGGGTTATAACATGGGTTATCACCATGGGTTAAAACAGGGTTATCACCTGGGATAACACTGGGTTTCACCTGGGTTATAACACTGGGTTATCACCAGGGTTATAACCTATTAACACCATGGGGTTTAAAAATGGGTTATCACCTGGTTATAAACTGGGTTATCACCTGGGTTATAAAACTGGTTTTTCCCCCTGGGTTATAACACTGGGTTATCCCATGGGTTATACACTGGGGATCCCATGGGTTATAACACGGGGTTATCACCAGGGAAAAAACACTGGGGTTTTAAACCTGGGTTTTTTAAAATGGGTTATCCCCATGGGTTATAACACTGAGTTATCACCATGGGTTATAACACTGGGTTATCACCATGGGTTATAACACTGGGTTATCACCATGGGTTTACCATGGGTTATAAAAACTGGGTTTACCAGGAATATAACACTGGGTTTCACCATGGGTTTTAACACTGGGTTATCCCATGGGTTTAACATGAGTTATCACCCGGGTATAACACTGGGTTTTCACCTGGGTTATAACCGGGGGATCACCATGGGTTATAAAACTGGGTTTCACCATGGGTTAAAACACTGGGTTATCACCATGGGGGTATAAACACCGGGTTTCACCAGGGTATAAACTGGGTTTCACCAGGGGTTTTAGCACTGGGGTTTTCCCCATGGGTTAAACACTGGTTATACCATGGGTTATAACACTGGGTTTACCAGGGTTTTAAAAAGGGTTATACCATGGGTTACAAACGGGGTTATACCATGGGTTATAAACTGGGTTATCACCTGGGGTTTTAACACTGATTTTCACCGGGGGTTTTTAAAACCCGGGTTTCACCATGGGTTTAACACTGGGTTTTTCTATGGGGTTTTAACATGGGTTATCACCATGGGTTATAACACTGGGTTATCACCATGGGTTATAACACTGGGTTATCACCATGGGTTATAACACTGGGTTATCACCATGGGTTATAACACTGGGTTATCACCATGGGTTTTAACACTGGTTACACCCGGGGGTTATAAAAAGGGTTATCACTGGGTTTTTTAATGGGTTATCACCCCGGGGTTTTAAAAAAAAGGGTTATCACCATGGGTTAAACAGGGTTTAAAAAGGGGGTTATAACCTGGTTATCCCATGGGTTACAAAGGGTTTTCAAATGGGTTTTAAAATGGGTTTAAATGGGGTTAAAAACGGGTTATACCCTGGGTTTATAAACCCGGGGGTTTTCCAAAGGGTTAAAAAACTGGGTTTTTAATGGGAAAAATGGGTTACACCAGGGGGATAAAGGGTTTAATGGGTTATAAATGGGTTATTAGGGTTTAAAGGGGGGTTAAATGGGGTTTTAAAAACGGGTTTAATGGGGTTTTTAAATGGTTTAATGGGATTTAAATGGGTTTTCACAAGGGTTTTAAAATGGGTTATCCCCATGGGTTTAAAGAGTTATCACCATGGGTTATAAACCCGGGTTATCACCTGGGTTATAAAACGGGTTATAAAGGGTTATAACACTGGGTTTCACAAAGGGGTTTAAAATGGGTTATCACCATGGGAAAACACCCCGGGGTTTTTCACCATGGGATTAAACACTGGGTTTACCATGGGTTATAGC